AATACACTCGTGTTTACAAAACACTCTCAAACTCACTCACAATTCACAACTCGAAAATACATACAAAGGCTAGATTATTTTTTCTAGCTCACTCCCTCTTTTTCTCTCTCGTATTTTGGTTGTTCTTGGTGTGTCTTTGCTTCAAAATTGTGCTCATATTTATAGCTGAAAATGGTGCAAAGCTGGTGCAGAATTGGTGCAAAATTTCGGCTGCAATTTAATGCTCAGCCTCCAAATTTAATGCTCAGCCTACAAAATTAATTGGACAACCTCCAATTGCACAGCCTCCAATTTTAATGCACAACCCCCAATTTTGTCAACAAATGCTGCTTTATCAATCTCCCACTTGAGGACTGATTTCAATCTGTCCTCACACCTCAATTACTGCAGTAGTCTTCTCAGGTCTTTTATCCTAGCAAGCCAACTGAAGTTGAGCACAACTTCAGTTTGTCAATGGTCACCACCTTCGTTAGCATATCTGCTGGGTTCTTGCTTCCTACAATCTTTTTCAAAGTCAACACTTCATCCTCGAGAAGAGATCTGATGAAATGATATCGTATGTCAATGTGCTTAGTTCTGGAGTGAAACACTGCGTTCTTTGCCAGATGTATTGCACTCTGACTGTCACTGTGCAAGACACTCTCTTTTTGAGTGAAACCCAACTCTGCTAACAATCCTTGAAGCCATATCAATTCTTTACTGGCTTCAGTCACTGCTACATACTCAGCCTCTGTAGTGGATAGAGCAACAATCTTTTGTATCCGCGACATCCAACTAACAGCTGTAGCTCCAACAGTGAAAACATAACCGGTGGTACTTCTTCGGTGATCAACTTCACCTCCAAAGTCTGCATCTACGTAGCCTTGTAACTTTAGATCTCCTTTTCTAAAGTACAGACATTTTTCTGTTGTGCCACGTAGATATCTCAAAATCCATTTGACTGCTTCCCAATGAGCTTTTCCTGGTTTTGACATAAACCTGCTCACAACTCCCACTGCATGGCCAATGTCTGGCCTCGTACAGACCATCGCGTACATCAAACTTCCAATGGCTGAAGCATAAGGAATCTTAGCCATGAACTCTTCTTCTTCTTTTGTTTGAGGAGACTGATCCTTGGATAAACGAAAATGGCTGGCCAAAGGTGTACTGACTGGTTTAGCCTTATCCATGTTAAACCTTTGCAAAACACGGTTGATGTACTCCGTCTGAGATAACTGCAAAACTCCCTTATGCTTATCTCTCGTGATTTGCATTCCAAGAATCTTCTTTGCTGGGCCTAAGTCCTTCATGTCAAATTCTTTTGACAACTGCATCTTTAATTTTCTGATGTCTTTCATATCTGATCCTGCTACTAACATGTCATCGACATAAAGTAGCAAGATGATATAGCTGGACTCATATTTCTTAAAGAAGCAACAGTGATCGGCATTGCACTTCTGGAAACCTTCCTTGTGCATGAAGCTTTCGAACTTCCTATACCACTGTCTTGGAGCTTGTTTCAGGCCGTACAAGCTCTTCTTCAATTTGCACACCATATCCTTCTTTCCATCTGAAAATCCTTCAGGCTGGTGCATATAGATCTCCTCATCTAGGTCTCCGTGAAGAAATGCAGTCTTCACGTCTAATTGCTCTAGGTAGAGCTCTTCACTAGCCACAATACTTAACACAGTCCTGATAGTATTGAGCTTTACAACTGGAGCAAAGATTTCAGTATAGTCAACTCCTTCTTTCTGCTGAAATCCTTTGACAACCAGTCGGGCTTTGTATCTCCTGGAACCATCATAGTCTTCCTTCACCCGATACACCCATTTGTTGTGAAGTGCTTTCTTTCCCATGGGTAACTTGACTAGTTCCCATGTCTGATTTGAGATCAAGGACTTCATCTCGTCCTTCATGGCAAGCTCCCACTTGTTAGCATCTGTGGTTTGACAAGCTTCCATGTAATTTTCAGGCTCCCCTCCATCAGTCAGCAGCATGTAGTCCATGTATCTCGTGTTAGGCACATGGGGCCGAGATGACCTTCTTAATACAGGAGCTGGAGTAAGAGGTTCTGATTGCACATCACTTTCTTCATTTGATTCCTCTGACTGAGGACTCCTCATTATAGGACTATCTGGGATATCTTCCACCTCAGCATAAACTGGCCCACTCGCTTGTGAGTTGCTGGCACCTGTATTATGCCGGTCCTTGTACATCACTCTTTCATTAAAGATGACATCTCTGCTGCGGATCATTTTTTTGTTTTCATCATCCCATATGCGGTAGCCAAACTCATCTTCACCATAACCAAGAAAAGTACATTTCTTTGATTTTGGATCAAGTTTGTTTCTACCTTGATCACTGATGTGCACATATGCTACACACCCGAAAACTCTAAGATGTGAGAGTTTTACTTCTTTTCCGCTCCATACCTCTTCTGGTAACTTGTGATCCAATGGTACCGATGGACTTCGGTTGATCAAGTAAGTTGCTGTGTTGACTGCTTCTGCCCAGAACTGCTTTGGTAGGCCTGACTGCACACGCAAGCTTCTGGCTTTTTCAGTCAACGTTCGATTCATACGCTCAGCTACACCATTGTGTTGAGGCGTACCAGGCACGATTCTCTCCATTCTGATCCCGTGCTCATAGCAAAACTTCTTGAATCTGGTGGTTACATATTCACCACCATTGTCGGATCTGAGCTTCTTGATCGTCAAGCCTGTCTCATTTTCCACCATAGCTTTCCAAATCTTGAAAGCTTCAAATACTTCTGACTTGTGTTTCAGAAAGTAAACCCATACCTTTCTGGAGTGATCATCGATAAAAGTCACGAAGTATTGCTTCCCACCAACGGATGGGACAGTCGTTGGACCCCAAACATCAGAGTGGATGAGCTCAAGCTTCTCCTTCTTTGGGATTTTTCTACTTGTCTGAAAGCTGACTCTCTTCTGCTTTCCAAGTATACAACCTTCACACATGTCAATTTCTATTGACTGAAGGCCTGGTAATTTTCCTTTTGAGTGAATGATCTTCATCCCTTTTTCACTCATATGCCCAAGTCTTTGGTGCCATAGATTGGGATTTTCATTTGCTGCAACTGCAATCAAATGACATGCTCCTGTGGTCTTGTAAAGAGTACCACTCTTTTTGCCTCGAGCAATTGTCATCGCACCCTTTGAAATCTTCCAATCATCACCATGAAAGATTGTCGTGTAGCCTTCACTGGCTAGCTGGCCCACAGAGATTAAATTCTTCGTCAGTCGGGAATATGTCTGACATTTTTCAGTTCCTATACAGACCCGCTCAGCTTTATTTTTATTGCACCTTTCCCTACAACCTCACATGATTGCTCATTACCAAGGTAAACTTTACCAAGGTTACCAGGAACATAATTTTCGAGTAGTTCCTTCTGTGAGGTAGCATGAAAGGATGCTCCAGAGTCTAACACCCAAGACTCTTCTCTGTTCTCCAAAGAACATATCAGCATATCTCCTCCTGAGCCTGAAGCAATATTTGCCTCTTCTTTTGCCTCCTGACCCTTCGGTGCACTCTTGCACTGGTTTCTGTAGTGCCCGGTCTTCCCACAATTCCAGCACTCGATCGACTTCGAGGTTTGGGAACTACGATGATTTCTGGACTTGGATCTTCTTCCTTTTGATTTGTTGTGTCTGCTTTCTTTGGTTGAACTTCTTCCTCTTGACTCTGTATGCAATACAGAAGAGGTCGATGGTTCACCCGACTCTCTCCGCCGGATCTCTTCACTGAGAACCAAATTTTGGACATCATCAAATCTCAACTTATTGTTTCCCGATGAGCTGCTCACAGCCGTGACCGTAGCATTCCAGCTTTCTGGCAGGGAAGACAAAAGTATTAAAGCCCGTACTTCATCATCGAACTCGATCTCAACTGAACTCAACTGGGTTGTGACGGTGTTGAGCTCATTGAGATGATGTGCCACCGAAGCACCTTCGGTCATCCGAAGGTTGAACAATCGCCTCATCAAATGAACTTTATTTGAGGCTGATGGTTTCTCGTACATGTTGGAAAGAGCCTTCATGAGGCCTGCTGTCGTCTTTTCTTTTGCAATGTTAAAAGCAACATTACGGGATAACGTCAGCCGAATGGCTCCAAGAGCTTGTCTGTCAAGGAGACTCCATTCTTCCTCCTTCATGTCCTCTGGCTTCTTTCCTGTGAGTGGTTGATACATATTCTTCTGGTACAGATAATCCTCGATCTGCATCTTCCAGAAGCCAAAGTCCGCACCGTCGAACTTTTCAATTTTCATTTTTCCTTCGTCTGCAGCCATCACTTCAATTCTGATCTGACTTCTCTGCCGGATCGTTTATGTAATTTTTGTGAACTACCGTGTTTCAAAACACGTCGGTAGATAAATTGTAGCGCCGACAAAATTGGCACTATTCACGTTTTTCAACGGAATAGTAACACCACACAAAAAATACAGAATTAACAATCTGGCTCTGATACCAGTTGTTGGGAAAAATACGCTGAAATTTCCATGAAGTCGGATCTATAAAAGTGAAATAAAAATAAAAATTGGACACACCAAATTGATAACGGAGTTCGGCCAATAATGCCTACGTCTCCGGACTACTGCAGATATTTTATTGGGAAAAAGAAATACACTCGTGTTTACAAAACACTCTCAAACTCACTCACAATTCACAACTCGAAAATACATACAAAGGCTAGATTATTTTTTCTAGTTCACTCCCTCTTTTTCTCTCTCGTATTTTGGTTGTTCTTGGTGTGTCTTTGCTTCAAAATTGTGCTCATATTTATAACTGAAAATGGTGCAAAGCTGGTGCAGAATTGGTGCAAAATTTCGGCTGCAATTTAATGCTCAGCCTCCAAATTTAATGCTCAGCCTACAAAATTAATTGGACAGCCTCCAATTGCACAGCCTCCAATTTTAATGCACAGCCCCCAATTTTGTCAACAAATGCTGCTTTATCAATCTCCCACTTGAGGACTGATTTCAATCTGTCCTCACACCTCAATTACTGAATTTCATCCATCAACCAACGATAACCTACAAACTACACGTGGCAGAACAAAACAATTCTCGTCCCCGTGCAACTCGCCACGTCTCATCTTAATCAACCCCCTCAACTGCCCCTTATATATCTCATCTTCCCCAGAACTCAGACAACATATAAATCTTAAAAACAAAACACATAAATCAGTGTTATTCCCAAGATGGCGTTGAATATCAGTACAAAGGCGTTACTTGTGGTGGTTTGCCTAGCGGCGGCAGCAGTGGGGCTGTGCCGGGATGATGTGTCGGAGGAGAGAGTGCATATGGCGGAGGCCATGCAGGAAGCCAAAGACCGCGCTGACTCGTGGGCTGATTGGGCTATGCACAAGTTCTCCCAGTAATTTAATTATATAAATAAACACTGTATATCATATATATGATATATCATTTTAATTTGCTGCTCCACTTATTCTTGTTAACAGTCTTTCAATTATCTAATTAATTTATGCTATCAAGTATGAGTAATTTATGGTCGTTGAATGTATTTTTCTACCCTTTGTCAATTGAAAAAAGTAGCAAGTATTAGATTGTTGATTGATGAAAGTTAACTATCAATTGCTCATGCATACGATCAATCAATACCAGTTAATTTGTACCAAAAAAAAATTATACCAGACTTATAGGACTATATATTATTTTTTCAATTTCACTATTGCTCATGTATACGATCAATAATTTGTTTAGGAAAATGGGAACGGATACAGACAGCACCGAGGACACGGCTCACAAGTTTATGGACAAAACCAAAGACGCTGCTTCCAAATCCACGGACACAATTAATTCTGCCGCATATGGTATATATATGATATACCTTTGCCAACTTTTCTTATAATTAATTATTAAAAGATTGCTAATTATTTCTAATTAACCCTATTAATTAATAAATAATCACCCTTGTGTTGCAGAGTCGTCAAAATACGCTTCGGAGAAGGCCAACGAGGTGGCCGACATGGCTTCCGAAAAACTCGGCCAAGCCAGAAACTACGCCTCGGAAAAAACTGGCGAAGCCATGAAAACAGCCTCTGACATGGCCTCCCGAGCCCACGAAACCGGCAAAGACAAAGCAAACTATGCCTCGGAAAAAGCTGGCGAAGCCATGCACGCGACCTCCGACATTGGCTCCCGAGCCCACGAAATTGGGAAAGACAAAGCAAACTATGCCTATGAATCCGCCTCAGATCTTGCCTCTGATGCCAAAGAAAAAGCCCAAGATGCGTACACAACAGCACAGGGCAAGGGATACGAGGCTAAGGAAGGGATTGGGAATAAGGGGGAGCAGACAATAAAGATGGCGACAGAGAAGGCAGATGATGCTCGAGAGAGAGCGTTTGATTCGTACGAGGATGCGAAGTCGAGGGTTCGCAAGGCGTATGGATCGGCTAAGGAAAAGATGTCGGAAGAGGCGAGAGAGAAATATGAGGCGGCTAAAGAGAAGGCTTCGGATGCCGCAGGGGAAGTGGGAGCTCGGATGAGGACGGGCATGGCTGAGCTTTAACTGGGTCGTATAAATTGTAGTTTNCTTTGAAGGAATAAGAAGATATTATTTGTGGTTTATGGGGGTAGGTTTTATGTGTAGACACGATGTGGTATATGATGCGACAGTCACACCGAGTATCTTCGATGGGTGACTTTCGTCACTCGTGCCCTTGTGTTTACAGTAGCATTCTGCAGATTAAGACAATGAAAGCGTATTATTAATTTTTTGCAACACTGAGTTATATATATATATATAGAGAGAGAGAGAGAGAGAGAGAGAGAGATCAATTGTGCTTATAGAAAGTACGTGTAACTGTAAGTTCTACTTACTATTGTTGCATCGTGATGTGATCTTACGATTCAAATGTGTTCAGTCTGCATGGGTTTTAACTACATTAATTTGACTTATATCACATTTTAACTGAGTTGCATCAAAATAGAATCAAATGTATTTAAGCCAGTTAGGTTCATAATCTAGCAACTCGTTCAATCATCTATTGCCATCTAAAGGAGCTCTACTGAAAAATTAAAAAATTAACAGATTCCATGTGAATACAAGTCCATATTTTCCTTCAACTTACAACATTCATCGGAGTTCTAGTTCTTCAGAATTCCAAGTTTACATTAATTCTAAAGTACACAAGTTTGAGCTACATATTATTACAACAACCAACAGTTCAAGAGCTTACACAAATAATATTAGAGAAACAAGGTAACTGTATCCCAAGATTCTTGGAATATTCTTTTTTCACCAGCTGGAATTTGTCGATCATATTCCGGTCGAGGGAGCAAAGAAATTTCTCCAATCATTAAGTCAGTAGCAGATTGATTTTTTTCCCAATGTCACTGGTTCCAAATACACGCCCTGAAGTAAAGCACACAATAAATCCATCAAACCATAGAAAGCAAGGTAAGTGAGGAACAAGTGTGGAAAAGAGTGCTTCATGATTCACGCGGGTCAAAATAAANAAAACAATTCCCAATAGCAACTAATACAACAAACATAAGAATCTAAGGGTAGATTGAAGAAGTGGAATCAATGCTAAAACTAGACCTTTTCAGTTACACATCTGCTGCTTTTCCCACCTACACTTTTGAAAATACCCTATACAAAAACTGACAAGAATTAATGTTTGCAATTCATTGGTAGATCAGATCAAAAACAATAGAGCACTCTTGAGATCAGTATTCAGAATACATAGCTTCTGTTAACGAAGTTAAAGTTAATCTAAGTTCAATGCCGCATGTTTCCACCCTAATTGCTTATTTTGCAAGTTATTTTAGTGATCCTTACAGCTCTACGAGATTTCATGAGAAATAGAAGGTCATGAGAGAATGAGGAAAAAACATTGCTAGGATAATACATCTAGAAAGTATGGTTTTACTTGGTCATAGTGACCCGAAATTTTCTGGACCATAAATATTGATCCAATGTTTATTATACAACAACCAGGAGAAGTAAACCAACTAAACTTGAGTTTACAAAAATTAACTTGGATAAGAATTCAACTGATTTGCAAGGATCAGAAACTTGTAGATAAACTAACACAATGTAATTTCTAGTGCTGCACTTAGGCTATTGTCATTTTCCTTCTGCTAGAATAAAATTTTCACTTGAAATTTTTCATGAAGTACACTACCAAGTCATTTTCAATGTGCACAAGCACCTAGTAGGACGAGACTCGACAAAAAGATGAACTATTTCCACTAAACAACACAAGCACAATCTCTTAAATGCTCAATTCACCCCGTATATCAGAGAACCCAACTTTGCAGTGCTCACATATAAGAAGACATAATATATCAGGAGAAACTAAAGACAATCTTTCTTTAAACCAAAATCACATTTAGGAAACACAGCATAAGTAATTTCTCAATTGTCACAGTTCACATAAACACAGTTGTATGAGTTTTTCAGAGATGTACAAGAAACCACCACTTAATCATAGAGCATGTCTAAAGAACAGGGCAGTAGATATATAACTGTTGCTCAAGTTCTTGAATCACAAGAGGCAAGGCAGTAATCATAAATTCATCTGGAGCATCCATTACTTACAATAGCATGTAACACAAATCTACATATTTTCAGCAGATTTGAGAGACAAGGATAGATAAGTGCAAATGGTAAAATTACTTGTCAGACAATGCACATATTAAATATCTCTAGTCATTCATCCATAGATTATGCCCAACAAGAGATATCAAGAGACCGAAATTTTGAAACACACACACACACACACATATCATCATTAATGTTAAAAGAGTCATCAAAAGGGGATGGCCTGATGAAGAAATAGAAAACCCTAAAAAGCAAGAACAAACACCATATGAATAAAAAATCAAAATTTTGCATTGAGCTTTAAATAAGTGACAAATGCTCCTATAAATTACTCAAGACAGACTGCATTGGTAGCAACCTTGAAGTAAAATGCTAGTAGTCCTTCTGCTAGACACCTTATTAACATTCTCTGTCTTCAATAATTCTATCATGTATATGGATGCATAACAAAAAAGAATCTGTCTTCACCCCCAACATAATGTACTGTCTCACCCATATCCCATAACATAAAAGCAAGAAGAAAAGATTTCTCCAAATATCAAATGCACATAAGTAGGTTTTACTTCAAACCCCCAAGTCAACAACCTAGTTCAAAATACATATGCAGGCGCAAACTCTATCTACTCTTAACAAATTCAGAGCTCAAGCTTTACTACACCATTTAAACCCACATCAAATACATATAACACCTCACTCCAGCACAACTAATGTCATATGCATTCTTTTACAAACAACAAAACCGTTAAATCAGTTTGACAAATTCAGCAATACAACCAAACTCGTTGAACCAAAAGCCAAATCATTCAAATTCTCAGGAAACCATTAAGGGGGTGATTGTTTATCAACTCAACCCAAAAAAAAAAATAATCAAAACTCAAATTTAACTCAACTTTAACGCAATCTCACTATCAACAATATTATCAATATAATTAAATAATATCAACCAATCATTCTTACACATCGCATAAACTTTAATTCACTATTCATCCACTCACATAATTTTAAATAACCATCACTTCCAATCATTTTTCTCCTACTTTTACATCAAATCAACTTTAATTATTTTATTCTAAATAATATTTTAATTTAAACTTAAATATCCACTAACAACTAACTATACCATATTTTTTCAAAATTAACCATGGTTAAAAAAAAATAATTAAAAACTAGTTGAATCTATATCCAGTCACACGACTCACACCCTAATCAAGGTAATTCCACATAGCCAGAGTAGAGTATCTATTAATTGAACATGAAAAGGGAAAGAAATTGTTTCTACCCCATATTGCCAATGCCATTGACAGGCTCCACAAACTGCAGTTGATGCTGATGTCCATCCTGGCGAGTTTCTATCTGCTGCAACGGCTGCACAACACCACCTTCAAGGCCTCCCGAGCCAGCTCCTCCCTGAGCCGCCGCTTTAGCATCTGTGATCCGCCACATGTACCAAGCCCCAACCGACCTATAAGGCCTCCACTTCTCACACAGCTGCTCCAACTGTGAAGGCTTGGGCAGCTCATCCAAACCGTACAAAATCTGCACCCCTTTCCTCACCCCAAGATCACTCACCGGCAAAATATCAGGCCTCTGGAGAGAAAACATCATGAACATTTGAACCGACCAAGAACCGATCCCTTTAACCATAGTCAGCATCGTGAACAGAGACTTATCGTCCATTTTCACCACCATGTCGTCTGACAAAATCCCGGATTTGTATTTATTCGCCAGGTCGTATATGTAGCTGGCTTTCCGGCCAGAGACTCCGATCTGCTTCAGCTGCTGGGGGGTGAGGGTGAGGACGGTGTCAGGGGAGACAGAGTCGGAGCCTCCGCAGAGGGCCATGAAGCGGTTGTAGATTGTGGTTCCGGCCTTGAGGGCGAGCTGCTGGTAGAGGATGCTCTTGGCGAGTGCGTGGAATGGGGGGAGGCGTTCGGTGAACTCCGGCGGTGGGAGGGTGTCGATGAGCAGGGCGAGCACGGGGTCGGCGGCGCGGAGGTGGCGGATGGCGGACTCGATCTCGCCCTCGACGGTCAGGGGTTTCATGATTAGGGGTAAGGCTCTGGAGGCTTGCGAGGCGCTCCGCCGGCGGTTTTTGGCGGTGGAGGCGCAGAGGGCTAAGGAAGACGATGCGGAGGCGGATGAGTCGTCGACGGACGGAAGGGAAATGGATGGTTTTTCGGTGGAAGTGGAGAGTTTGCGGATTTTCTGAGGTCGAATCGGGATTTTGGAAGGGTTCTGGGGAGCGTGGGGGATTTCGGGATCGGCATCGGAAGAGTCTTGGCGGGGCTTGGGGGTTTCGATCGGCGGCAGAGAATGGGATTCGGGTTTGGGTAGGTCGTCGATTTGAGCTGGGGTTTGCTCACCCATGTGATCGGAGTGCGGCGGTGAGACCAATCGACGGCGGAGAATGGTGGTGGTGGTGGAGGGCGGTGCGTGGCGGAGGATTGGGATTCGGAGGAGAGAGAGAGAGGCGAAGATTGATTAGTTGGGGGCGATTGAGGTAAATTTGCATTTATTTAATTTAATTTAATTTCATTTGGTGTGAATGGTTGGACTCGTCTCATCGAGTCAAACCAATGGACTGTTGAAGGCGTGAGCTCTTTCACTTCACTGTTGAAGATAATCTTATTACCGACCGACCAATACCGTTATCATGATAGGTGCTTCATTTACTAATTTAATAATTGAGTTACTTCGCCAGGTTACAAGTGTAGTTTGGAGGAAATGGATTATTACTGGTATTGGTATTGGTATTAGGTTGTCCGAAACACTGGTGTGTATCGGATGTACCCAGTTACTACAATATCGAAATGCATTATATTTTTTCATTATAACTAGTACGTGGCCCGTGCGATGCACGGGAAAATAATATTTTGATTGTATTATTATAAATTAAACAAATAAATAACATTAATTATGATTTACCCATTATTTATAAATTAAACTGGGTTGGACACAGTCCGACCGCATGGACCGAGAACCGGTTTATAACCGATTTAGTGCGCTTGAATAAAATATTTACTATCAAATCCGCCAACACCAGTATGTTGGACTGGTAAGATCGATACGATTTTCTAAACAAATTTTGTTACATGAAAAATTATTGTAAATAAAATTACATATTTAAATAAAATAAAGATTTATAAATTGTTTATCAATTAGTTTAAACATTTGAATTTATAAATTATTTAGATATTTAAGTAACACTTTTTATTTAAATATATATATATATATAAGTATTATGTAATAAAATCTGAACAACCACAAGACGGTCCGATTCTGAAAATCTTATATTTACCGTACATTAATAAAAATGATAATGAAATAAATATTTTGTTCACATAAATAATAATAAAATGATATATAAATATTCATAAATCATTATTCATGTTGTCATAAAAGTATTGTTAATATATGATTATTTGAAGTTTGGACTACATCACATTCATGTAATAAAGTATTTTCAATATTAAAATTTATATTTAGGTTCAATAATCAATTTGGTCTGGTCAAACTGATACATAACTTAGTTACACTGGACCAACCAAGTTGTGTCAAGTTTTTTTGACTATTTTAAATATCACCTAAAAATAATTTAATCAAAGTGGGCAGTACCCTAATTCAACCACCCGATTGATCCAAAGTAATTTCCTTATTTTCTTTAAATATAATATTTAATTTTATGAAATAAAAATATTATATGATTCATATGTTTACACCAAATGATAGTATATTAAGATTATAAATTATATATCTAAAGATGAACTATTTATTTTTATTTTATGCATATTAATAAAAAATAAACGTAGTAATTTAAAAAAAAATTAAGATTAATTAATTGAGTATGCAATTTAAAAAATATTTTTAGCGTTCAATATATATATATATTTAACATGATTGAATTTTTGGATTAGAATATATATATTTAACATAATTTTATTACTAAAAGTCAAAAAGAAAAGATGTCATAAAGATTACAACTTTGAAAAGTTTGTAACCATTAATTTAGGAACACTCCGATTTTAAATGATTTATAATTTTTGAAACATGATACGTGCATTTAAAACTCATTAATTTAGGAACCATCCAATTTTTTGATAATGAATTAAAATTAAAATGTAAAATGTAAAAGTTGCTGAAAATAGTATATAATAAATGTGGTTGACTTTTCCTTACTACTATTTATGGTAAATGTTAATTCTTATTATATATACTAGTACGTAGCCCGTGCGATGCACGGGTAAATAATATTAAATAGTAATTATAAATTAAAGGTGGAGATAAACAATGTTAACTAATAATTATAAATTAAGATGTGAATAACAATACAAATAACAATTATAAATTAAATATGTGGAGTTACTTGTTACCGTATATAGTTTATTGTAAACAATACAAAATTATCTTGTATAAAGAACATGAAAAATATATATATCGATGTTCTACCGGGCAGTTCTGAATGGCATGAACACAATCTTCCACGAAAATATCGACGAATTTAGAATATTAATCGAATGAATAATGACAATTATTCGACTACCCTATCAACAACACACAATTCATAAAAAAATGATTATAGCCAGTGACTGAAAAAACACCGCATATAATATAAGTTAATAATAATAATAATAAAAAATAATAATAATAATATTAATATTAATTTGCTGAAGATTTGCTTTCAACGAAAATCACGTATTGATTCCTTTAATTTTGCTCCAAAAACTCTACAAACAATATTAGGGCGATACTTAGGCTGTATATTCAATGAGTTTAGGATACAAACATATTCATTATGTGTAGAATATAAGCAATCTCTTGTCATTTAGCTTAATTGCTCTAATGTTGCTTAGCTACAACATGGTGCAAGATTCATGATTGTTTTTTTTTTCTATTTTTTCATTTCACTGTAAATAATGGTTTGCAATTTAGTTTTTGCTAAAGTTAATTTAGTTTTTTTTAAAAGTAATCTCACAGAATAAAAAACACAATGCATTAAGCTTAAGTATAAGCACAAAGCTTGAGCTTCATGTTGCCTTAAATCCATAACCAACTCAAACTGTGGTCCAGACCACAATAGAATAAGAAATCTTTATCTGACGAAATAAATTTGTAGGATCGATAAAAAAAAAAAAAAAAAANTCCCCGTAAAAGCAACATTTTTACACCTTGAACTAATGAATCAGTTAGTTGAGAAATACAACATGTTATTAAAAGGTAATTACAACTATCATTTTGATTCTATGCCGAGAGGCTGTAGAATAAGTTGACGCAAACATTTGCTTCTAGTGGAAGCCATAAGAATACCTCCTCTTCCAGCAGAAGTCAAGAAACATACGAAAATCCAACTCTTCAAGACAACATCAAGCAATAAGTATACACACTTTTTGCATATGAAGTTATGAAATATAGCAGCAACCTACAGATCTAAACATTATAAACTCATATTCTTGTAATTATTATGAAGCTCAAGTTCAATATTCTTGTAATTATTGAGAGTGATTTCTCACTTGAAGTTAGTCAATTTCATATTCTGTGTTGACTATAGTATGGTGAGGTTTTCAAGTGCCTCTAGTTATTCAAAAATTCCATTAGAAAATGAAGTCAATACACTCTTAGCTGTCAATGAGCTGGTTTGGTCGCCGTTTTTCAGTAAATTGTGATTTTTGTTTCCAACGGCAACCACCTTCAAAGTACGTCGAGTAAGGGAATACTTGGCATACCTAACTTTCCATCCTGCAAAACATTAAAAGTTAATGCTAAGCGATGTAGGCGCGTTCAAAACTGGATCATCAAGCAATGATCATCAAATAAGGAATATTACAAAATAATAATCTTTTAAGTTCAACCTGATGACAGAGGTTAGGGCAGTTCTTTTTAAAAGTTATATGCTTCTGTAATCGCTTCAATGTGTGTTATAAAGTGCATCCAATTGTGAGCGTAACTTTGTTAGGCGAACCACATGAAATTATTTGTAATAGTTGGCAAGTATTGTTGTTTTGTTTTTCAAAGTAAAAATATTATTTCAACGTAACAATAAAAATTAAGTTAACCCTCCGGTGAATAATTTTATTTATCACTATATACAAAAAAGAACAACCAATTTTTCGGATGACAATGTAAGTAGGAACTATCAATAATCTAATCCTTGCCCAGCCCGAAGATCATATGCTTTTACATAATATTGCTCTATTTCCTTTTAACATGCAGCAAAGTTTAAGATTCAGTAGTCACTCATGGAATCACTGCAGTTACAGGCCTTATAGGCCATAAAGTATTAGAAAAACGTCTCTAGTAAATGAAAACTCTCCCCATGGGCGGATTACTATGAAGAAAATGCCCAGAATTTGCATTCCTATGAACACACAAGTGAAGTTGACAACATAGGTTGTACACGAAAATTTGACAAAAGAACGTTATGTATAATACATGGGGTTTAGCCTAATTCAAATGAAGGTCAGCTTTTGTATTATAAATAGGTTACATAATATGACAGACACCCCTTGAGCATTGTAAGCACTTATGTAAATACCTACATATGATGTCGGATAGTAGGATATCAAATCGGACTAAGGTTTGCAAACTATCAAGCATCACACAGTATCTCAAGAGTTGCATAGATGCATAGAGGTAAAAGACTAACTTGAAGCAGCATCATTGTCACACAAAATTCTTCCCAGGAGTTTGGGGACTGCAATGTGATTCTTGAGCCTTTTTTTTCTGAGAGGAAAAATAGAAAATAAGATTTAATGCCACAGGAAAATGTCTTGATGACTATGAAAATGGCAAAAATAAATAAAATGACATACGGACCAGGCCGAGGAACATTCTTCTATCAAGTTGANTAGCCAAGTGTTTAGTTCATTTTCCTTAAGGTCAATCTTAGCATGGACTTTCTCCTTGGCCTCGAAGTAACACAGCTCGATGGAGTCCGGAGGATGTATTTGCACTCGAGCAGGCGTCCACGCAGCAGGCCTAGTGTCATAGGAAGCCAAATGTCAGCGATCATCGAGAAGGCGGCGATGGGGATTGGCAAACCCTAATCGATAATCGAGAATCGAGAAATTGATGCTATGATTAGGTCAAAATGAATCAAATTATGCATCTGAGATAGAGGGATTTGGCTTACCATTTGATCGGCAAAGCCCAGACCAGAGAATTCGATTCGTAACTATATCGATTAGATGATGAAAAATGAAATCAGAATTTGCGAATTTAGCGACTCTTGAACTCCTTCCTTGGAAATCGTGGGGAGTTATGGGAGATTAAGGCGTGATTTATGGAGATACAATGGCTAAAGAATTTGGGCGGATCTCGTGTGCTTGGGAGAGATATGGAGAACCTAATTTATGGGATAAATACGGGAGTGTACGGATTTTGGGGAGACGTGTGAATAGATTTCAATTGCAACACGTGAACAGATTTTCAGCCGTAATATAAGGAATCAAAATTTCAATTTGCACGGTTTTTAAAAGATTTCCATATTCAGTAAGTCAACTTGATTGACTTCGATTTTTTTAAAACTTTCCCAAAAGGATTTATTGACCTCTCTTTTTCAATATATATAGATATAGATTATTTTTTGTTGTCTTTTTAAAAAACCATCTAATAATTAATTAATGTTATATATTTTTGTAGTTTTGCTATGAAGCCAACACGACAAGTAAATCATATCATATTCTCTAACTACTTAAATAAATATTAATAATTTTATTAATATGATATGGTTTACTTGTCGTATACAGAAGCTTAGTTTCATAGCAAAACTATATATTTTTGTACCTAGTTTATCTAACAAGGATAGCACAAGTTGCGTTCGGGAAAAAGTTGGACATATTTTTTCTCAGAATATTTAAATGGCAAGTACATTACTTAGTTAATATGTATGTCTAACAACAATAAAACGTCATAAAAAATTATAATCAAGTTAATATAAAAAGTTGAAAAATACTCTAAAACTAGTAATCAAGCATGTGCATATGCATAGACACAAATAAAATATTATATGGCATAAAATATGACGAATAATGTATTTACAGAATTAAGGGATTTAAAACAATTAGTTGGTTGGAGAAGAATTAAATTATTATTATTATTATTATTATTATTATTATTATTGTTGTTGTTGTTGTTGTTGTTGTTAGAATTATTTATGTAGTTTTAAAGGGTTTGTTATTCCATAGACCAATTAGCTATCAGAAAAGCTGCTTAATGAGATAAAAATAAAATGATGATATTAACTTTAAAATTTAAAAAAAAAAATGAAGTAAAAAGTTTGTTATAATTTTTTTTACAAGTGTAATTTGCATAAATTTTTAGTATGAATTTATAATTGATTAATATTAGTAGTAAATATTACTATATGATAACTAAGTTAATACATATTACTGCAATAAATTAATAAAAAAGTAACTGTAAGTTTTCATAATTAAATGACAAAAGAGTAGAAAACTATCATTAATTTTCTGTCCCTCTATATACATATATATGTAGATAAATAAATAAAAAAATAAGGAGGTTTGACCATATGTCCCTTAAGGAGGAGCTTAGTCATCACCTTAGGTGTCACAATAATAAACTTCAGCTATTCTAGGTGGTTTGACCACAAAATGACTGAATTAAATCACTTGGGCCATGAAATTTGCACTTGGTCTAAGAAATAGTGGCTTGGCGTTGAACTGGGCTCGAAAATAGTGGCCCTGGACGCGCGGACTGGCTGGACTGGACACGCAGACTGGGCTTGGACTGGGCGCGGCGCTGGACTGGAGTGTGCAGACTGGCCCGGACGCGCATTAGGCTGCTCGAACTGGGCTGTCACGGGCTGCGAGAGCTGGGCTGGCGCGAGCTGAGCGCGAGTAAACTCTTGGGTCAAGGAAATAACTATCTTTTGGGCTGGTGATTAGCTTGATATTAAGCTGAATTTGGTGCATCAAAACACTTTGAAAAATTCTAAGGAAATGACTACCAATGCTCGATTAGGGCTTGAGCATTCTCGGGCACGGCTTTCGGCTAGGTGCGAGCAACACAAGGTCGAACTTGTGGCATTGCTTGTGCCGAGATGATGAGTGCTTCTTAGGCTGGTCTTTGATGCATTGAGCTCGGTTAGGGTTCAAGAAATGATCGAGCACGACAACTAGGGCTAGGCGCACTAAACTTGGCGTGAGTGCTCGTAATCGAACTTGTTCGGTTCCGGTCGCGACTCGACTTCGACGATTTCTCGAAATATTCTCAATTTCGATTAACACGTCGACTTAAGATAATTAATCCCGACTTATAATGTCCATTTCTAAAATAAACGGACCGGAATTAATTACTAAACTAACTCGGTTACTGAATAAAATTAACCGAATATATTCTCGACTTAAAATCGAACTTTAAACTGAATGGCTTACTAACTGAACTCGAAAACTAACTTGAGCATTATTAATAAAAGGAAAAATAGTTCAATATCGGGATATATTTTACATTTCTATACATATTTTATACTATTTTCTTTATATATACATTGATTTTTAATAAGTTTTAATTATTAATACATTGTAAATATATTTTGTATTTCTATACATATTTTATAGTATTTATATATATATATATATATATTTATTTATTTTTTTTAAGAAAAAATGAAGGGGGCCCACAGGCCTCCCTGGGCCCCATGTACCTCCGTCAGTAGTCAGGGGCAGAGGCACGTACATGTGTGCCTGGGCTGTAGCCCGGGTGCACCTCAGCCATCAATTAGTAGGAATAGTATACAATATTCTTGCTTTTTTAGAAAAACAAAATTTAGCCCGGTGACATATGAAAAGCTAACATGTTTTGTTATATTTTTTTGTCCTGTTTTAATTAAGTGGGTTATATACTTGATAACAAACTAATTTTTATCCAGTTTCCATTAAGTGGCCTTTATTCATATATAAAGTCTAAGTGGTATTTATTAAAAGGTAAATATTGAGTCACTTATAATAAAATTTATGTTTGTTTTCCATTAGTTTATATTTTGCACATAGTTCACCTTTTATATGTAATTCTACACAATAATTAATTTTCTAATTATATATTTCATTTATGTTTGAAAGTTCTTTTGTTTATTAGTTATATACTAAATTTTGCTTATTTTGTTCATTTTTCAATTTAGATACTTCACATTAAATAGAATTAATACTGAATGTCTATTAAGTATTTTATATTTTGTTTTGCACTAATTTAATATTTAGTTGGTCACACTTAAAGTTTATTAAGTAATTTAATTTTTATTTAGTGCTTATTTTGGACTAATTTAGTTTTTACTTGGTCACTCTTAAAATTTATTTATAAGACAAGTGGGTTTTCATAAAAATAAATTTAGCCCGGGTAGATATTGAATCCTGGCTCCGCCCCTGTCAGTAGTTAAAACCATTACAATTATCCATTACATAATATGCATTATTAGAGCAAAATAAAAATAGATTCTTCTCGCCATACATATGAATAGATTTTGTAGAATGTGGTAGTGGTATACAAACTCTTTCTCTCCGTCTCATATAACTAGTACGAATCACGTGCGATGCACATGTAAGAAATATTTATTAATATTTATAAATTAAAATTTTTCATTAAATATTTGATACGTATATTTTATAATATGTTTTCACATTTTCATTAACTTATGGTGAATATTGAAATAATATATTGCCATTTAAAATAAATATCAAATTTTCTATATTTTGGTTATATTGAAGTGTTTCCATATCGAATTATTTTGATATTATTGTACATTTTCAGTTTAGACTATATTGATGCGTTATTTGAATTGATTTTATTCTTACTCAAAATTAAATAATCTATTTGCATAAATTAAATGTTATAAAAAATTAGGTATGGATATTTCAAAATAAAATATTTGCTCCTAAATTGCAAATTTTGTTAAATATTTTTTGGGACAAAAATATGAATAGGATGTTACCAAAAATACCGATTACCATGGTATATTCACGCGTGTTTACCAAATAAAACTATCGGAATTATTCACCAAAAATTTAATCTCATTTTGAAAATCGAGTTTTCTATGTAATAATAAGGAGAAAATTGCAAATTTCGTCCCAAAACTTTTGTTGTTTCCCACATTTGGTCCCAGACACGCCAATTATGGTCCTTTTTGAATTTTCGTTGCCAAAATGGTCCCACTCCGTCAAGACTTAACGGTCAATGTTTATAGTCTGGGACCAAATGTGGGAAACAACAAAAGTTTTGGGACCAAATTTGTAATTTTCTCAAAGTTTATTTTTATTAGAAACATTTTTTTTTTAAATTTTTTAGTAAATGTTAAAAAGGTATATTACCATTATTTCCTAATAATACATTTAGTTTATTTTTTAATAAATTATAAAATATAAATATAACTAACATACAATTCTTTCACATTTTTTTTAACTTAAATTAAAGTTTAACTTGATTTTTTACATAAAATGATTATTTAATTGAGTAACTTAACAAAAGGTGTATAAAATAATTTTATTAATTAGTTCATGATAAATGAGATGCAAAAAAAAAATATATGATATATTTTATTATAAATAAGTGTGAGCAAATCGCGTTCTTCTCCTTTGCCCCAAATCGCGAAACCCTAGCTTTCAGCCCCAATCCATCGCCGATTGCCTTCCTCTGTGACAATCCGACGCCGGCCAGTGGTCATTTCCGACTGCTCGGCCTGGCCCTAGGTTCGCAAGCCTTCCTTCTCACTGCAGATGTCGCGATTCGCACGGTTCGCAAGCCTTCTTCCTCGCAGCAGTGTCGGAGTCGCAAGGCTCTCCATGGTCGCCGGCTGTCTTCGATTAGAGGAGGGAAGCTTCGAGCTTCGATTTGCTCCTGGATGGCACTCTGTCGCGTCCTCTGGTCGCCTTTGCTGTTCACGGAGGGGCCCCTGCGGTCTGGGCTCCGGTCGTTGGCGGCGGTGGCAGTGGTTGCTGTTCACGGCGGGGCCCTCTGCGGCTGAGCTCTGGTCGACGGCGGTTGCAGTGGTGTTGGGAAGTGAGTGAGCCGGGGTTGGGCTGGGACTCTGGAAGCTGTGACAGTCCGGTTACGGCAATCGGAGTTGAGGTAATGCTTCGTCCTCTCCCTCGTTGGCTAGTGGTGTTAGACGGCGGGAACTCGAGCTCATCTCATCTAGTGGTGTTAGATGGTTTCGGGCCGGGTTTGGTGTGAGAGCGGATTGTTCTCCTCTCGGTAGGTAATGGGTCGATTTGAGTTTGGTTCGGGCTCGACGTTGGCTATTGTATAGGCGGTTGCGCAGTTTCGGTAGTG